CGATGGTCCAAGGGGAATCGCAATTCGTATTCTGAGCCCCGATTTTTCAGTCTTCTCCCATTGCGCCGAGGGATACATTTAGGCTTGCAGTGAAAGAGCGAAAAAGGAGGGTCCAGTTGCATGTGGGGCTGCATAAAGGCTCCCCTGGGGAGTTCAGTTGTACCCAAAGCCTTCCTTTGGGGGCACTTCTGGATGGGCGAAAGGCTCTTGTAATGCGTTTTCTTTGGCCCGATTTTTCAGTTATCTCCGATGCCGGCTAGGGCTATATTAAGGCTTGCTTTGAAAGAGCGAATACGGAGGGTCCAGTTGCATGTGGGGCAACATAAAGGCTCCCCTGGGGAGTTCACTTGTACTCAAAGCCTTCCTTTGGGATCACTTTTGGATGGGCGAACAGTGGGGGCTCGGAATGCGATTTCTGAGGCCCGAGTTTTCCGTCGTCTCCAATGCCAGCTAGGTCTATGTTTAGTGTTGCTCGGAAACAGCGAACCCGGAGGGTCCACTTGCATGTGGGGCTGCGTAAAGGCTCCCCTGGGGAGTTCACTTGTAACTAAACCTTCCTTTGGGGGCACTTTTGGATGGTCCAAGGGGAATCGCAATGCGTATTCAGAGCCCCGATTTTTCAGTCTTCTCCCATTGCGCCGAGGGATATATTTAGTCTTGCTGTGAAAGAGCGAATACGGAGGGTCCAGTTACATGTGGGGCTGCATAAAGGCTCCCCTGGGGAGTTCACTTGTACTCAAACCCTTCCTCTGGGGGCACTTTTGGATGGGCGAAAGGGGCTCGGAATGTGTTTTCTGGGGCCCGAATTTTCAGATCTCTCCAATGCCGGCTAGTGCTATATTTAGAGTTGCTCGGAAACAGCGAACCTGGAGGGTCCAGTTGCATGTGGGGCTGCATAAAGGCTCCCCTTGGGAGTTCACTTGTACTCAAAGCCTTCCTTTGGGGGCACTTTTCGATGGTCCAAGGGGAATCGCAATTCGTATTCTGAGCCCCGATTTTTCAGTCTTCTCCCATTGCGCCGAGGGATACATTTAGGCTTGCAGTGAAAGAGCGAAAAAGGAGGGTCCAGTTGCATGTGGGGCTGCATAAAGGCTCCCCTGGGGAGTTCAGTTGTACCCAAAGCCTTCCTTTGGGGGCACTGCTGGATGGGCGAAAGGGGCTCCGAATGCGTTTTCTGAGGCCCGAGTTTTCCTTCATCTCCAATGCCAGCTAGGGTAATATTTAGTGTTGCTCGGAAACAACGAACACGGAGGGTCCAGTTGCATGTCGGGCTGCGTAAAGGCTCCCCTGGGGAGTTCACTTCTACCCAAAGCCTTCCTTTTGGGGCACTTCTGAATGGGTGAATGGGGCTTTAAACGCTTTTTCTGTGGCCCGAGTTTTCAGTCGTCTCCAATGCCGGCTAGTGTTATATTTAGTGTTGCTCGGAAAGAGCGAATCCGGAGGGTCCAGTTGCATGTGGGGCTGCATAAAGGCTCCCCTGGGGAGTTCACTTGTACCCAAAGCCTTCCTTTGGGGGCACTTTTGAATGGGCGAAAGGGGATCGGAAAGCGTTTTCTCGGGCCCGAATTTTCACTCGTCTCCCATGCCGGCTAGGGCTATGTTTAGTGTTGCTCGGAAAGAGCGAACCCGGAAGGTCCAGTTGCATGTGGGGCTGCATAAAGGCTCCCCTGGGGAGTTCACTTCTACCCAAAGCCTTCCTTTGGGGGCACTTTTGGATGGTCGAAAGAGACTCGCAATTCGTTTTCTGAGGCCCGCTTTTTCAGTCTTCTCCCTTTGCGGCTAGGGCTATACTTACGCTTGCGTAGAAAGAGGGAACGTGGAGGGCCTATTTGCATGTGAGACCGCGTAAAGGCTCCCCTAGGGAGTTCACTTGTACCCAAAGCCTTCCTTTGGGGGCACTTTTGGATGGGCGAATGGGGCTTGTAAGGCGTTTTTTTGGCCCGAATTTTCAGTCATCTCCGATGCCGGCTAGGGCTATATTTAGGCTTGCTGTGAAAGAGCGAAAAAGGAGGGTTCAGTTGCATGTGCGGCTGCATTAATTCTCCCCTGGGGAGTTCACTTGTACCCAAAGCCTTCCTTTGGGGGCACTTTTGGATGGATTTATGGGGCTTGTAAGGCTCCTTCTGGGGCCCGATTTTTCAGTCGTCTGCCATGAGGGCCAGGGATATATTTAATCTTGCTGTGAAAGAGCGAATACTGAAGGTCCAGTTGCATGTGGGGCTGCATAAAGGCTCCCCTGGTGAGTTCACTTCTACCCAAAGCCTTCCTCTGGGGGCTCTTTTGGATGGGCGAAAGGGGCTCGGAATGCGTTTTCTAGGGCCCAAATTTTCAGTCATCTCCCATGCCGGCTAGGGCTATGTTTAGTCTTGCTCGGAAAGATCGAACCCGGAGGGTCCAGTTGCATGTGGGGCTGCGTAAAGGCTCCCCTGGGGAGTTCAGATGTACACAAAGCCTTCCTTTGGAGACACTTCTGGATGGGCGAATGAGCCTTGAAATGCTTTTTCTGTGGCCCAAGTTTTCAGTCTTCTGCCATGCTGGCTAGGGATATATTTAGGGTTGCTCGTAAAGAGCGAACCCGGAGGGTCCAGTTGCACACGGGGCTGCCTGAAGACTCCCCTGGGGAGTTCAGTTGTACCCAAAGCCTTCCTTTGGGGGCACTTTTGTATGGGCGAAAGGGTCTTCTAAGGCGTTTTATTTGGCCCAAATTTTCAGTCATCTCCGATGCCAGCTAGGGCTATATTTAGGCTTCCTGTTAAAGAGCGAATAAGGAGGGTCCAGTTGCATGTGGGGCTGCATAAGGCTCCCCTGGGGAGTTCACTTCTACCCAAAGCCTTCCTTTGGGCGCACGTTCGCAATGTCCAAGGGGAATCGCAATGAGTTTTCTGAGGCCCGTTTTTCATTCTTCTCCCATTGCGCCGAGGGCTATATTTAGGCTTGCGGTGAAAGAGCGAACCCGGAGGGTCCAGTTGCATGTGGGGCTGCATAAAGGCTCCGCTGCGGAGTTCAGATGTACACAAAGCCTTCCTTTGGGGGCACTTTTGGATGGTCGAAAGTGACTCGCAATGCGTTTTCTGAGGCCCGCTTTTTTAGTCTTCTCCCTTTGCGGCTAGGGCTATACTTAGGCTTGCGTACAAAGAGTGAACGCGGAGGGTCCAGCTGCATGTGGGACTGCGTAAAGGCTCCCCTGGGGAGTTCACTTGTACCCAAAGCCTTCCTTTGGGGGCACTTTTGGATGGGCGAATGGGGCTTGTAAGTCGTTTTCTTTGGCCCGAATTTTCAGTCATCTCCGATGCCTGCTAGGGCTGTACTTACGCTTGCTATGAAAGAGCGAATTAGGAGGGTCCAGTTGCATGTGGGGCTGCATAAAGGATCCCCTGCGGAGTTCAGATGTACACAAAGCCTTCCTTTGGGGGCACTTTTGGATGGGCGAATGGGGCTTGTAACGTGTTTTCTGGGGCCCGAGTTTTCAGTCGTCTGGCATGAGGGCCAGGGATATATTTAGTCTTGCTGTGAAAGAGCGAATACTGAGGGTCCAGTTGCATGTGGGGCTGCATAAAGGCTCCCCTGGGGAGTTCAGATGTACCCAAAGCCTTCCTTTGGGGGCACTTTTGGATGGCCGAAAGAGACTCGCAATGCGTTTTCTGTGGCCGGCTTTTTCAGTCTTCTCCCATTGCCCCGAGGGCTATATTTAGTCTTGCGGTGAAAGAGCGAACCCGGAGGGTCCAGTTGCATGTGGGGCTGCATAAAGGCTCCCCTGGGGAGTTCACTTGTACCCAAAGCCTTCCTTTGGGGGACTTTTGGATGGATTTATGGAGCTTGTAACGCGTTTTCTGGGGCCCGAGTTTTCAGTCGTCTGCCATGAGGGCCAGGGATATATTTAGTCTTGCTGTGAAAGAGCGAATAAGGAGGGTCCAGTTGCATGTGGGGCTGCCTAAAGGCTCCCCTGGGGAGTTCGCTTGTACCCAAAGCCTTCCTCTGGGGGCTCTTTTGGATGGGCGAAAGGGGCTCGGAATGCGTTTTCTAGGGCCCGAATTTTCAGTCGTCTCCCATGCCGGCTAGGGCTATGTTTAGTGTTGCTCGGAAAGAGCGAACCCGGAGGGTCCAGTTGCATGTGGGGCTGCATAAAGGCTCCCCTGCGGAGTTCATATGTACCCAAAGCCTTTCTTTGGGGGCACTTTTGGATGGTCGAAAGAGACTCGCAATGAGTTTTCTGAGGCCCGCTTTTTCAGTCTTCTCCCTTTGCGGCTAGGGCTATACTTAGGCTTGCGTAGAAAGAGTGAACGCGGAGGGTCCAGTTGCATGTGGGGCTGCGTAAAGGCTCCCCTGGGGAGTTCAGTTCTACCCAAAGCCTTCCTTTGGGGGCACTTTTGGATGGGTGAAAGGGTCTTGTAAGGCGTTTTTTTTGGCCCGATTTTTCAGTCATCTCCGATGCCGGCTAGCGCTGTACTTAGTCTTGCTATGAAAGAACGAATAAGGAGGGTCCAGTTGCATGTGGGGCTGCATAAATGATCCCCTGTTGCCGACGGAAGGAAGACCCAGACGCTCAATATGAGTGAACAGTAAACTTCAACTTTAATGGATAGCTCAGTCGTCTTTTATCTAGTTGGAACATCATCAACTCATACATATTGCAGAAACTAAGCTCAGGATTGTTTAACACTTCCCAGGCTTTTCAGTCTGGTCCTCCTTCTTTTGGCTACCTGTCCCACCTTAGGGACTTTCCCGATGGCCCAAGGGCATCGTGTCCTTGAGCCTGATTGGCTCTCAGCCAGCTGCATACGTGCCAAGGCTCATGTGAGTTGAGTACGGTGCTTCACCAGCCCATTGTCTCCCAACAGCTCAACATTCAAATGTCCTGCCTCACTTAACGATTCCTCCACAATTCCCCCGTTTTTATTTTGCAGTAACTATAATCAATATAACTATAAGTAGAAAACTAAGTTCCTCTTTGACGAAGAAAAAAACATCCACCCATGTTCCCAAAAACAGATTTAAACCAACCTTCAAACCAACTATCTTGTACTACAATTTTTTGCGTATGATCCCTTAACCATTTCAAACATATTCAACTCATCAACAAAAGGATCAGACGCAGAAGCGAGGAATAGGCAAAATGAACTTTGTCCGGTTTGATTTGCCCAAGTGACCCACATATTGGTTTGAGGTTCGATTTTGCTTAGGATGGCACTATTACGTCCAACCGTCATTGTCAAAGATAATGCAACCAAAATCCCTTGTGCCGTTAGATCAGCCATGGTTGCTGTTATTTGTACTTGATGACTTTTCTTCAATGGCTGGTTTAACACATCGACTAGGAACCCAGGTTGGCCCTGTAGGGGAAGAGATACACACATAACCTCACCCCATATAAATCACATCAGCAGGCCCCAGCCATTGTCCCGTTTTCATATCTCGGTACAGTACTCTCATAATACATTTATTATCATTTTCAGACTTAATGTAATGACGTGTCGCGGGTGGTTCCTCATCATCTCCAAATACACACAAATGATTGAGAACAAATAAGGTTTTATCCACCCTCTCTCTAATATCTGTAATGTCTTTAAACTTTTCCAAATACTGCTTAACTGTTCCATTAGCTCTTTCTACTATAGCTTGACCAGTTGGTGAATGTGGAATACCAGTTATATGCTTAATGTCCCACAGTTCCATAAATCGCTTAAGTGGCCCACTAACATAGGCTGGACCATTATCTGTCTTTATGGTTTGTGGTACTCCCATTACTGCAAAACAACTGGCAAGATGACGTCGTACATCCCGAACTTCTTCCCCAGGCTGTGGTATAGCCCAAATCATGTAAGTGTCTATTGTTACATGCAGATATCTCAATCTGCCAAATGCTGTGACATGAGTGACGTCCATTTGCCACACTTCGTTGGTTTTAATCCCTCTCGGGTTTGTTCCGATTCCGATTCCCACACCCGAATTGTAATGACTACACGTTGGGCAAGCTTTTACTATCGCCTGCGCATCAGCTCTAGACAGTTTGTAAGCCCGCGCAAGTCCTTTAGCGTTCTGGTGAAAAATAGCATGAGCCTCCCGAGCTCTGCAAAAGGGTGACAGTGGTGCTTCAGTAGCTGTTGCGGCGACTAGTCGGTCCGCTCGAGCGTTGCCTTCTCCCAGGCCTTCTTCCCACTGATGACTCCTTATGTGTATTACTGCGTACGGTTCACTTCTTTGAGCTATGGCGATCTGTAGACTGATTATTAATTCTGACAGCCGTTCATTTTTTAAGTCTCTCAAGGCTGAGTCTTCTATACGATTTGCTATGCCTACTACATATAAGGAATCGGATACCACATTTAACGGAACATCTCTCCATTTTATAAATGCCCATACTACTGCAAGAAGTTCTAGTGTCTGTAATGAGTCTTTATCTTGGGCTTATAAAATTTGATGTTTCCAACCATGCTCATCCTTCCAAGTCACTGCAGCAGTTCGAGAACGTTTTCCTGCATCAGTGAAAACTGTCACTGCATTCTTAAGTGGGATAGACGATCGTTTTGGCTTAGTTATCCATCCCTGGTTTTCCATGCATGTCAGAGCAGTTGATTGTAACGTTTTTGCTACTATAGTAGCGCCATCCTGTAGTAGTGCAGCTTGTAACTCTTCAGAGTTTTGTATATACCATTCCAAATCGCCTGGCTTCATGGGTAACCAGATAATATTTGGAGGAACCCCATCCACTTGTAATATTCGATTCCTCCCCTTCTTTACCAATTCTGCTAATGTTGCAATTTTTTCTTGAATTGTTCGTCGAGGTTGTAACGGAGGAGCTATCCATTCTAATACCACAGTTTCTCCTCCCTTCTCCCCCGTTTTTATTTTTTGCTGTGTTATGGCACCCATCAGGCATTTTGAGCCACATAGAACGGTAAGATCGAGTGGCTTATCAGATATACGTCGATGCGTTACACTCGTTGTGATCAAAGATGCGATTTGTTGTAGTATTTCTTGTTGTTTTTCTGATAGTGTCACTTTTGAAGCAGGATCAGTTCCTTTTAATAACGGCCGAAGGGGATTTAACAGTTCATTTGGAATCCCGACTACTGGCCTGATCCATTGTAAATCTCCCAGCAGTTTTTGAGCATCATTAAGAGTTTTGATATCCTATTGGATTGTAAGTTTTTGAGGCTGAATGGTGGAATCTGTAATTTTCCAACCCAAAAACTTCCAGGGACTTGTCTCCTGAACCTTTTCCGGTGCAAGTACGAGTCCCATTTGTTTTAAGGTCAGTGTTAAGTCATTTTTCTGTTGTAGACTTGATTCGAATGTAGGCCAATGCGGTGGCCAACTTTGCGCAATGATTATTGTCACATCTGCGCCAGTGTCCAACAATGCCTCAATTTGCAGTTTCTCATCCTTTAAACATACTGTGATTTTTTGTCATGGTCTCTGCTGCATGCCAAGCGTTAATAACGCTATTTTTCCTGTGGAGCCAAATGCTCCGAGTCCTCGGTCCTTATTGACCATTGGTGGTAGAGATGCCGCAAGGTGTGGCAACGGAATTAATTGAGCTATCTTTGTATTCCGCGGCACATGCATTGGAGGAAACATTGCAGAAACTATAATCTGTATTTCCCCACAATAGTCTTTATCTATAAGTCCAACCAATATTTGTAATCCATTCAAGGTAGCAGACGATCTTCCGATCAATAAAGCTCCTACAGGATCACCATTGACAATAACTGGTCCCATAACTCCTGTTCCTACCCTGGTGGGTTTAGAGTCCAATAGCGTTACATCTACTGCTGTTGCCAAATCCAAGCCGAGACTCCCTCTGGTGACTGGTCGGAGGTAAACGGTGTCGTTCCGGCCGCTGTGGTAAATGCCGCTTTTTGTGTCATCGCGGGGCGGTCCTTCCTGCTGCTCTGGCTGTTTCCCGACGCACCATACCGACAGATGACACCACACTGATCTCGTTTTGCACTCTCGTTTCCTATGTCCGGTGATCCCACAGCGAAAACAACGCGGTTGCAGTGAAGACCCTCGGCCAGTAGGACGGCCTCCGGGCGTTTGCAAAGGAGCAAGGGCAGCGAGTACTTGATTCTGCGATTGCTGTGCAGTCTCTCTGAATACCTGTGCCTGTTCTTTCATGCTATTCCCTAGTTGTTTTATTACATCTACCAACATAGCCTGCGGACCCACGGGTACCTGAGCCATCCTTTCTAAACCCTCTTCAATTGTCCAAGTTCCCGGTAACGTAGCTAATATACTACGAGTTGAAGGGTTGCAGTTTTGAATTGCACACTGCTTTAGAATAGTGCCCTTTAGATGATCAGGTACCCCAGCCGCTTGTATTGCGTTTGCTACTCGATCAATAAACAACCCAAATGGTTCCTCCCTTCCTTGCTTGATGCCCATATAGGATGGTATCCCCCCTGGCTCTCTAATTTGGTCCAAGGCTCTTCGAGCCAATCTCATTGATTCTTTAGCTTTGTCTGGACCCAGCAACGCTTGTGTCTCTAATCTATAATACGGTCCGAGTCCCATCAATTCCTCCAACGTGACACCATACAACGGATCTCCAGGCGCCCTTATCACAGCTACTGCCTCTTGACAAACGCTTTGCCAATGCGCATTAAAAAGAAGCTGTTGATGTTGTGTTAGGATCAGCTTCATTATACCACATATGTCCCCGGGGAGCAATATATTAGTTCCCCAAATATAATCTAACATGTGCCGAGTAGGTTCCCCCTTTAAACCAGAATCATTTACTGTAGATCGTAATTGAGTTAATAGTTTCCAGTATAAATTTGTCGTATTAACGGTCACATTCCCCTGTGCATCTGGTGGCGAGTATACTACCGGAAAAGCTTGTGTTAACTGTGCTGCCGTTTCATAATTTCCTTCACGCAGTGCCTCATTTGCTATTTGCCTCCATCGCTCCTTTTCAAGGCCAATAGGGCCTGGGTCAAAAGGCACGTTCAGGTCAACAGGGGGCGTAACAGCAAAGGCCTTCGATAGCTGCAGACCTTCTCTTCCCTGCGCCCCCGTTGTGAAGGGATTTATATTTGATAGAAATGAGTTAGCACTGGTCCTTTCACTTGCTCCTTTCTCACTTTCTATTGGAGCAGTTGGAGCTGTTGGTAGTGAGAGCTCCTCTGCTACAGAGGACATTGTCACAGGCACCCCCGAAATTCCCGAGGCCCCCTGTGTAATAGTAGAAGTTCTAACGGAAGGCGGCAACGGGCAATCTGTTCCTTCCGTATTTATTTGCTGTGGATTAACATTATTAACCCTTCTTGGTGGTCCTGACCACTCTGTTGCAGCAGCGGCAACTCTTTGTTCATCTTTATGTGTGGCTAATGCATTAGCCACTACTCTCCATGGCCTCATCAAATCTCCCAGTAAACTTAACATCGTTCCTAACATCATCAAACAATTTATTTCCAAATTTACGCCACTGTTTGTTCAAAAAACTGTATCAGGCCTTGTAAAACAACCCTTAGCTAGCGCATATACTAATAACCCTGGCAAATCTTTTTCTACAATCTGTATTTAAAATGCTCCGCTTTTCTAAAAAGCATTTGAGCAAATAATACGCCGCTTATCTTTTCATACCTTTATATACGTCGATTGCAGCCTTTGCAAAGACCTCGGCGGCGCTTTTCCGGCGGGACACTAAATAGGCTCATCCCGGGTGCGGGGACTCCCTTCCACCTTCCGAGCTGCAGATCTCGGCGACGCGCGACCGGTGGGATCCACTCCCGGGTGCGGGGGACTCCACGTCCTTTTCACCTTCCCGGCGCGGGTGCGGGGATTCTTGTCCTTTTCACCTCCTGGGCTGCATTGCAGGACCGGCTTCTCCTTTATTCCATCCAACCGTGGCCCTGGATCACTGCCAGCAGTGTCCAAATCCCGTTCAGACCTGTCCCTGTTCGGGCGCCAATTTGTTGCCGACGGAAGGAAGACCCAGACGCTCAATATGAGTGAACAGTGAACTTCAACTTTAATGGATAGCTCAGTCATCTTTTATCTAGTTGGAACATCATCAACTCATACATATTGCAGAAACTAAGCTCAGGATTGTTTAACACTTCCCAGGCTTTTCATTCTGGTCCTCCTTCTTTTGGCTACCTGTCCCACCTTAGGGACTTTCCCGATGGCCCAAGGGCATCGTGTCCTTGAGCCTGATTGGCTCTCAGCCAGCTGCATACGTGCCAAGGCTCATGTGAGTTGAGTACGGTGCTTCACCAGCCCATTGTCTCCCAACAGCTCAACATTCAAATGTCCTGCCTCACTTAACGATTCCTCCAAAATCCCCTCCGGAGTTCAGATGTACACAAAGCCTTCCTTTGGGGGCACTTTTGGATGGGCGAATGGGGCTCGGAATGCGTTTTCTGGGGCCCGAGTTTTCAGGTGTCTGCCATGCAGGCCAGGGCTATATTTAGGGTTGCTGTGAAAGAGCGAATACGGAGGGTCCAGTTGCATGTGGGGCTGCGTAAAGGATCCCCTGGGGAGTTCACTTGTACTCAAAGCCTTCCTTTGGGGGCACTTTTGGATGGGCGAAAGAGGCTCGGAATGCGTTTTCTGGGGCCCGAGTTTTCAGTCGTCTCCAATGCCGGCTAGTGTTATATTTAGTGTTGCTCGGAAACAGCGAACCAGGAAGGTCCAGTTGCATGTGGGCCTGCATAAAGGCTCCCCTGGGGAGTTCACTTGTACCCAAAGCCTTCCTTTGGGGGCACTTCTGGATGGGCGAATGGGGCTTGTAGCGCGTTTTCTGGGGCTCAATTTTTCAGTCGTTTGCCATGCGGACCAGGGTTATATTTAGGGTTGCTGTGAAAGAGCGAATAAGGAGGGTCCAGTTGCATGTGGGGCTACATAAAGGCTCCCCTGGGGAGTTCAGTTGTACCCAAAGCCTTCCTCGGGGAGCACTTTTGGATGGGCGAAAGGGGCTCCAAAAGCGTTTTCTTGGGCCCGAATTTTCACTCATCTCCAATGCCGGCTACTGCTATATTTAGTGTTGCTCGGAAACAGCGAATCCGGAGGGTCCAGTTGCATGTGGGGCTGCATAAAGGGTACCCTAGGGAGTTCAGTTGTACCCAAAGCCTTCCTTTGGGGGCACTTCTGGATGGGCGAATGGGGCTAGTAACGCTTTTTCTGTGGCCTGAGTTTTCAGTTGTCTCCGATGTGGGCCAGGGTTATATTTAGGGTTGCTGTGAAAGAGCGAATACGGAGGGTCCAGTTGCATGTGGGGCTGCGTAAAGGCTCCCCTGGGGAGTTCACTTCTACCCAAAGCCTTCCTTTGGGGGCACTTCTGGATGGGCGAATGGGGCTTGAAACGCTTTTTCTGGGGCCCGAGTTTTCAGTCTTCTGCCATGGTGGCTAGGGATATATTTAGGGTTGCTCGTAAAGAGCGAACACGGAGGGTCCAGTTGCATGTGGGGCTGCATAAAGGCTCCCCTGGGGAGTTCACTTGTACCCAAAGCCTTCCTTTGGGGGCACTTTTGGATGGGCGAAAGGGTCTTGTAAGGCTTTTTATTTGGCCCAAATTTTCAGTCATCTCCGATGCCGGCTAGGGCTATATTTAGGCTTGCTGTGAAAGAGCGAATAAGGAGGGTCCAGTTGCATGTAGAGCTACATAAAGGCTCCCCTGGGGAGTTCAGATGTACCCAAAGCCTTCCTTTGGGGGCACGTTCGCAATGTCCAAGGGGAATCGCAATGCGTTTTCTGAGGCCCTCTTTTTCAGTCTTCTCCCATTGCGCCGAGGGCTATATTTCGTCTTGCGGTGAAAGAGCGAACCCGGACGGTCCAGTTGCATGTGGGACTGCGGAAAGGCTCCCCTGGGGAGTTCAGTTCTACCCAAAGCCTTCCTTTGGGGGCACTTTTGGATGGGTGAAAGGGTCTTGTAAGACGTTTTTTTGGCCCGAATTTTCAGTCATCTCCAATGCCGGCTAGGGCTGTACTTAGGCTTGCTATGAAAGAGCGAATAAGGAGGGTCCAGTTGCATGTGGGGCTGCATAAAGGATCCCCTGCGGAGTTCAAATGTACACAAAGCCTTCCTTTGGGGGCACTTTTGGATGGGCGAATGGGGCTTGTAGCGCGTTTTCTGGGGCCCGAGTTTTCAGGTGTCTGCCATGCGGGCCAGGGCTATATTTAGGGTTGCTGTGAAAGAGCGAATACGGAGGGTCCAGTTGCATGTGGGGCTGCGTAAAGTCTCCCCTGGGGAGTTCACTTGTACTCAAAGCCTTCCTTTGGGGGCACTTTTGGATGGGCGAAAGAGGCTCGGAATGCGTTTTCTGTGGCCCGAGTTTTCAGTCTTCTGCCATGCACACCGCAGTGGAGGGTCCTGCCCTGGTCTTGCCTTCTCCCTTTCCTCCCTTCAGGCTTGTCCCCTTTATTTGGCATCCTTAATTCATGCAGAGCCTGCAGAGCCTCGTTGCCAGAATATTAGTTCTTCCTTAGCTTGAGTTTCAGTTTCCCAGGAGCGGGCTCAACTCTCCAAGTTTCAGTAGTTACTGGTCCTTTTATTCTGGATGCATGGGTCCTTTTCTGCGGTTCTCACAGCTGTTTCAGTAGTCAGTAAAACAAGGTACAGTCCCTCACACCCATGCCCTTGAGCCAAAAGCAAAAAGTCAATAGCAGCTTGATCCTGTAAGAGCGCATGTCGCAGACTATTTTGATCTGGTAACATCTCCTCAAGTATCTCTGTCATGGCATAGGCTTGCTTCTTGGCCCAGCATACCAATTTTTCTAAGTTGTTACGTGCGGCCGCAGATGCCACTCCAGGCACTGAACTTGCTAATGCCGCTCTAGCTGCAACCCCACACAATTCAACATTATCATTGCAATCCGATGCAAGCAATGCCCATTTATGTCTGGTGATCTCACGCAACTGTAACAAGCTAGGAGCAAATACAATGAGTTTATCTAAGTAACATGGACATCTGATAGCATTTGCAGCGATACCTTGCCAGGCCCCATCCCCACAAATCAGAAAAACATCAGGAGGTAAGGCCAAAGCTGTACAATTGTAGTTGTTACCCCTTGTCTCCATGTTATGAACCCCTAAACCCTGCTTAGCAGTGTCATTATAATCACGGATGTTATTTGTATTTCTGTACCCGTATGGCCCTTTCCAGGTTCCTGTAGCAGGATTCATCTGATAGCCACGGCTACGTTCACATTTGTAGCCACCTTTCAGGTTGATACATATTTGACTACAGATACCAGGGTTTTGACATTCATCAATATCTCCACAGTTTCTCTTGTCTACAAACTCAAACCCAGCTGGACAGTCACATTCATTTATGTTGCATTCCTTCAGGGGCTCATCACCCCAGTCCTTGCAGTCTCTCTGCTGGTTACACACTTTATTGATATCTATGCACACAAAGTCAGATTCAGTACACATCTTCTTCACACAAGCACTCTCATCACTGCCATCTGAGCAGTCTTCACATTTTACTCTAGCACCGTTGGCAGCAGTGCACAGTCAGGCGAAGGTGAGCAACAGGCAGAGCGCCCTGCACCGTCACCTGTGTCACTTATACTACTCCTATTACCCATGCTGTTAGTGTCAGTGGCATCCTCCTTGTACCGTTTCTGTCTTTGCCTCCCCCCTTTTCTTTTTGTCACTGGCCATTCACCACAAATGGATGAGACACATGATTACTAGTTAGGAAAGAGAGTGTAACGTCTGCTATACGGCTGCAGGCAGTGCCAGCTGCAACCTTAGGTTTGTGAAAGAGCCTGCCGGTGGTCATTTGGCAGTGTGATCTGCGTCTCTGCACTCCTGCCCTGCAATAGAGCTAAGTCGTCATTAGTAATAGTTATAACACCGATCTGGGGACTAATAGTCTTTTTTTGCATTGCAAGATAAACCTTTTATAAAAAGAATGCCAGAGTGAAGCAGCACAGCCGCTGCTGCCGCTGCCTCCATGGTTATGTCAGACAGGCTGCAGGGTCCTGATGTCCGCCCCTCTGCTCTGTGCCGACTCGCCTCACGGTGAGGGTCAGCTACCGGTGTCCACTGACGCCTCTGGTCTCCCGTAGCAACTCGATCTCGGATGTTCCGCAATTACTTCAATTTCCCCGCGTTTTGCAGCTTCTGTCAGGTTTCTCTATGTCTCTCAGAGCCATCCGTGGCTCCGCAGCGTCTCTCAGGGCTCTCTCCGTCCAGCGGTAGTTCCCTCCGTAGTGTCTCGGGTCTCCCGGCGCCGCTCCAGTCTCTCGGCGCCGCTCCGGTCTCTCGGCCTGTTCAGGTCTCAGCGAGTCTGGGTCTCAGTGAGTCCAGGTCTCGGCCTGTGCGGGCCTCATATGTTGCAGGAAGCATGTCATGTCATGCTCCTGCCTTTTTCTTGTCACAGTCAAAACATTTAAGAGCAAAAATAGGATACACAAGATACACAAGATACACCGGGCCCATATATTAGGCACCACCACTCAAAACTTGGATAAAACAGCACTTCTTTTCAGTCTGTCAAGCACTTTGTTCGTCTCTGCCCACTCCCCTTGCGGAGAGTACGGAACAACGGATCGGAACTCTGCACTCGCTTTGCAGCAACGCTGCGTCTCACTCACACAGCACACTCGCACACGGAGGCCTCCAGCACATCTCATTCATACCACAGGAATATAATTTAGAATGATAACCAACCAAATAAGTATTGTCTCTGACTGTGTTTTTCATGAAGTGACTTGTAACACTTTGTTTCAAACCCTTACATTTACACAAATACTTTCAACACAAAATACATACATAAAAACACATACAATTATTAACACTCCAGTTAGTATCCCTCCAGCAGCTGAAAACATACCATTTGTCTGCAGTTTCAGGAGATCTCTGCCCCTGCGGTGAGCAGCTGAGAGTGGAGTCCCCTCCGAGCAAAAACACTCAGGGTGCACCTAGGGGCGTCCACGCTGCAGCCGATCCCGCAGCCGAGCAGAGTGTCTCCTGCCTGGCTCACCAAAATGACTCACAGAAAGCTGACTCCACAGTCAGTAAGATTGTAAAGTAGGTATGTTTACTCAGTTCCGTGCAGCACGGGGCGGGTAGTCCCACCAAAGTCGTGCACGCCTAATGTGACAAATTGCTTTAGTAAAAAGTTACATATACATGAACATTCCTATACATATGCATAATCTGTCCCTTTGTGAACACTCTTCCTTATTTTAGACCCCTTGGTTAAAGTCTGAACCATGAGGTTGTTTTTGATCTGGTTCTCGG